TACACAATGGAGTATTACTCAGCTATTAAAAACAATGAATTCGAGAGGTTCCTAGGTAAATGGATGGAACTAGAAATTATCATCCTGAGTGAGGTAAGCCAATCACAAAAGAAGACACATGGTATTCACTCACTGATTATTGGATATTAGCCTAGAACCTTGAAATGCCCAAGATGCAACTCACAGGCCACATGAAGCCCATAAAGAAGGAAGACCAAGTGGGGGTGATTCGGTCCTTCTTAGAAGGAGCAACAAAATACTCAAGGGAGCAAATATGGAGACAAAGTGAGGGACAGAAACTGAAGGAGGGGCCGTTTCAAGACCACTCCACCTGAGTATCTATCCCATGTGCAATCACCAAAGGTAGATGCTGATGTGGAAGTCAGGAAGTGCATGCTGATAAGAGCCTGATATGGATATCTCCTCAGAGGTCTTCAAGAGTCTGACATACTCAGATGCAGATGCTCACAACTAGCCATTGAACTGATCATGGGGTTCTCAATAGAGGAGTCAGAGTGAAGACTGAAGGAAAGCTGAAAGGATTTGTGGCACCATGAGGAGAGCAACAATACCAACCAACCACAGCTCCCAGGGTCTAAACCACCAGCCTGGGAGCACTTAGGGAGGGATCCATGGCTTCAGCTGTATATGTAAGAGCGGAGTCAAAGGCACTGTAAATTTGCAAACTGTGGGTTTCCATATGGTAGTGAAGTGTGAAATGTTTTCTTAGTTGTAAATATCATAAAGAAAAATAAATGACCTATGATAGAATGAAAAAGAACACACAAGAACACATTGTACCAATGCAGGACATTGATGTGTAGCCTATTTATTCCACTTTTGGGTATTCTTGTGATTTCAAATGTGTGTATATGTGTGCACAGGTGCAAGCACACACATGCATTTTTGTTGGCCCACTCTTGTGGTTTGCATGTCAGGTGTTCCCTGTGTTTGAACATTTGCCTTCCAGGTAGTAGTGCTATTCGGAGAGTTTTGAAACCTTTAGGATTTGGGACTTTACTGGCAGATGTGGGTTTCTGTGTTTGGAATTTGAGGTAGTTTTAGTACGTCTTTCTTTTCTGTGGCTGGTTTTGATTTTGTTGTTGTTGTTGGGAGGGGGTGGTGATGGTGGTGTTTTTGTTTCCTGGCTATGTTTTATTTGACCCTTTCATTTCCTCATGTGCTTTCTAGTGTACAAGCAGTCTCACATTTCCATTACCATGCCTTCCTTGCCAGAATGCACTATGTCTCATCTAACCATGATGAAAGATAAGCCTTTCCTACTTGTCACTTGTTTCTTCTTGTCACTTCAGTGGTCACAACAACCTAAAAGTTACTAAGTTGCTCACTTTGTAAAATTTGTTGCTTGCTGAGGTTGTAATTAATGCTATCAGAAACATTTTTGCTAATGTTTGAAGTGACCAAACCCATTGTTCTAAACACAGATCCAACTGGGAATAGACAGGGAGTGTTCTTGTGAGCTCTAGCTGTAACTTAAATGTGATTCCTTTACAGAGGGAAACGAAAGGGCAGTTTCTCATTGAATACATCTGCAACTACTATAGCTTGCTGGAGAAGGACTACTTTGGAATTCGCTATGTGGATCCAGAGAAGCAAAGGGTAAGAACCAATCTTGATCTTCAACCTATGGGGTTAAGGAAAGGCCCAGAATGCTGGGCACTGTTGTATTCTTTCCAGAAAATTTTATTCTTTATTCTAATGGATTATTGACCTGAGAAATAAAACAGCTGGTGGGTGAGTGACAGGAAGGAATAGGAAAATGAAAAGCCTTTAGAAAGCTGGGCTCACATGAAGAAAAGTGGGTAAGGTCCCATGGTCTTTGAATTTAGACTTTGTAAACTTTCTCAGAGTAGTTGTATAGAATCCAAGAAACACCACCACCACCACCATCATAACAACCTGCTGGCAGGGGTATGGGATGGACTTGGTAGAGGTTGGGTTTCCTTATGGCATGATGAAAATGTTTTGAATCTGTTTGGAAAGGTGAAGCTTTTACGACACAAGCTTAACTGTCATGAACTGGGTACATAGCTGTGAATGACAAATAGCAGCAGAAGGCATTGAAATGGATTGTGGGTTGAATGATGTGTGTCAGTTTGAGAGGGACTGATGGGACAGGAAATATGGTAAAGGCTAAAAAAAGGAAATGGAAGATGGGAAGTGATGTAATTATTTTTTAATTAAAAAACCAGGATTAATCTACTTTTTCTAATAAATGTGTATTACTATCAAAACTAATCCTAAATTTCAGATAGAAGACTGCATAATGTATATTGAGGAATTAGAACTAAAACAGAAAAAGGAAGTGCTGTTCCAATAACTGAAAAAAATATATTTCAAATAAAAGTTAGTCAGAAGAGGTAAAGAAGAGCGCTTGGTGACTTTGTATGGATGAAGAGGCCAGTCTCCATTACAGATTGCAGTTCTAAACATAGATACCCTAAACACCGTTCTGAGAACAGAATCAGGAAAACTTTGCATTTGCACAGGAGTAAAATGTAGTCCACGAGTGAAGAATGGGGTAGGTCAAAAAATCAACCCAGAGTATAGTCTGGGCTAGGACCAAGACTACACACTACCAAGAAGGTAAAAACAACATTCAGGTCAGTGATTGTATTCTTATATCACTCTCCACCCTGCCCCCCTTTCTTCCACTCAACAACTATGCCTTATCTGCCAATGTGTTTCTTTTCTTATATCTCCACTTAACTCCTCTCCTCCACCAGTTGTTTCTTATTTATTTAGGAAATCAGTTTACCATGATGGGATGACATTATAGTCTGCTATCCATGCCTGTGAAGATTTCCTTTTATCTTTTTTTTCTTTTCTTTTTTTCCATATGCATTCCTCTTACTGTTACATAGCCAAAGCCCAGAGGTCGACCTTACTACAATATCTAAGTACATTTACTCATTCACCCTTTTTAATCTACCATTAAGGAGCCTCGTTAGCTCAGTAGGTAGTGCGTCAGTCTCATAATCTACCATTAACCAAAACTTCTACATCTCTATCCATTTTTTCCTCTCTATTTTCACATTTATAAATGTCTTTCTCTCATCTAACAAAAAAGATACCAATCATTAGTATCATTGACATAGCTTATTTCTGCTTCTCTTTGGTTTTCCACTTATACAAGTAATAACTAAAATGTTAATATATACAATATTACCAGGTTCTCTTTACTTCTGAAGTCAATTTGTACTTTACAAGTGTTGTTTTATAGTCACCTGCTACTGCTTTCTATATGTTTTAGTGGGTTAACTAATGGATAGCATTACAGGAAATAGTAATTGAACCACAAAATATTGAAGGAAATAGTACTCAACAAACAGGGGAAAGACTGGGGATAAAGCCATTTGCCTGGAAAACAAGACTGACAGGAAAAATATTACAACCATGTTGTTTTTCACAATATTAATAAGCTGCTGTGACCTTGTAGACCTATATCAGTTGCAATGTTATTGCTGAAAATATTCTTATTTTAATTTGAGCCAGGTTCTCACATTTACCTTAGTCTGGCCTCAAACTCATCTACATCCTTTGGCTTTTGCCTTGTAGGCTTTAAAATTATAGGCATGTGGCTCGATAGGATCCTACCTGTATAGTTTTGATTTGGTTTGATCTTCCCATTTCCGTGGATCAGACTATGAGTCTTTTACATTCTCAGCAAGTATTCAACTACTGAGTACCAACCAAACCTCTTCAAATTGCATAGCTTGTGGTCTTAAGATGTGATTTAGAAACCTTGCCTCTTCTGGTTAGTAAGATGTTTGATCCAGCAGGTTATTTTGTTTGCTACTCTGTTCCAATGGAAACAATAAATAAAATGATTTCATTTATGACTCTTAAGAGAATTTGATTAGGTATATAAATGCTTGATACGTGGGCATATATTGACTCTGAGGTATATGTTGTTCTCACGGTAAATCAATGCTATTGCTTTTACAATTACTATGATCTGACTAGGTCCAGGTGAGTAGTTAGCAGCATGCTTAGTGGCCTGCATAATATACAAATATTTGTAACTTCTGTTAAAGGCTACTGTTAACGGTCTTTGATGAGTTACTTATTTACGAAAGCTAACAAATTAAGAGAACTAGGTAAGCTAGAGAAGCGAAGTGTAACTATCCCTATTGTGTAGTTAGTAGTGGGTTACCTGTACTTCTCAGTCTCATTGATAGTAAAACATTATGGAATGTTATTTTACCATCTTAATTCTATCACTTTTCTCAGCTAACGAGGGTAAGTTCTTTTTTTGGAATACATTTTTTAAACAAGTAGCTAAATTTCATAATTCAAAGTTCTATTATTATGATTTCGTATGTAGAGTATACTGGATCTCCCTTCTTATTTTTGTACCCCACTCTCTTCTCCGAATCTAAGCAAAGAATCCTGATATTATTCATTGGAGTTAATGCAAACTCTAGCCACCAGCCCAACCAAAGACGAATAAGCCCACACCTAGGTTGTAGATGGTTGGTTTACATTCTGGGTACTGATGCCTTCCCTTAAGGTAAGTTAACACAGCATTGAGATTTTTATACAGCAAACCATATAGTGAACCTATTGCTGTCTTGTTAATAATGGGAAAAGGTCTTGTCTGTATCAAAACAATTTGCATTTTTTACAAGCACCTTCAGGAGGACACAGAATGGAATAAACAATTAGGATTGTGGCAGGAAGCCAGATGCTATTATGTCCCACCACCTGCTCCTGCTATTGAAAGACTGCTTCCTGCTGCTCTCCTCAGGATAATTGTTTCCCAGATGCTCATCACTGAGAACAGGAAAGGGACCCAAGATTTAGGACATCCCTGAACAGAACAAGATTTACTGTAAGCATAAGTCCCTGCTTATGGATTTGCCTGCTTATTACATTTTTAAAGGACATCAAGGGTTAAATATCACAATTTCAGAAGCTGGAGGGAGGTTCAGTGGTTTCAAGTGCTTGCTACCCTTACACAGAACCTGGGTCTATTTTCAGCTCCCATATTAGGCAGCTTACACCTGCACTTAAGTCCATCTTGAGGACATCTTAGGCTCTTTTATTGCCTATGTAGACAACTACACTTACATAAACATACACACAGAGACATATGCACATAAACATAGTTTAAGTTAAAAACAACTGTTTTAAAAATTACAAAGTTTTGGATGCCTTATGGGATACATACATAACTTATTCTTGTAGGAAGTCTTAGTCACTGGAGCCACATAGCACAGAGCACTGTCATCAGCTCTTTAAAGCTGGATGATACTAAGAGGTCCAGGTGTGGCTCAAAGAATTAACATTGCCACGTTTTAGGAAATGATGAGAATACTTCAGCAGACAGAAGAACTTCATGTTTGACCATTATTGTACACAATGTAGATATTGGAACACGTGTTAGTATAGTTAAAGAGGAGAGACTGTAAATGTTTGAAAATTTTAATCAGGAGCTAAATAAAGAGTTTAGGCCTCTGATATAATTATTTAAAATCAATAAAACATTTTATTTCTTCAAACTCTGAGACGCAATTGTAGAGCTAACGAAGAGACTGTCAATGGAAGCTAAGCAACACTCATATTTTAAGATATGGTCTAGAAAACAAAACCAGTAAGACCTAATTAAAACAAACAAAAAAGAATTAGTAAAACATGGTTTCTATAGACTCAGCCCCCAAAGAAGACTTGACAGTTTCAAGGTGGTCAACAGCTAGAAAATTTACTAGGTGATACTAGAAAGATTCGGTGAGTACTTGTCCATGCCATTTGCCTCTTAGTAACACTCTATTCCATATTTTCTTTATCTACAGGACAAATAGTACCTCTGTTCTTTTAATTAATCATTCATATTATCAATCTTATATAATTGATTTTATAGTCCATGTTTTAAAGAGTTTAAATAGACCCTTGCAGATATCTGGCCTTAGAACACTTCAGTAAATCTTATTGAATTAATATGGTCTAACATCTTATATTTAAGCATTGATAAAACATAAACTTGAATGAATTCCACAAGTTCCTTTATTTTTAAATTTTAATTTATTTTTATTTATGTGTATGTATGTTTCCCTGTATGTAGATATTTGTACTACTAATATACCCGGTGTCCAATCAAACCTAAAAGTTTCAGATTCCATGGAACTGGAGTTATAAGAGGTTGTGCGATACCATGTGGGTGCTGGGAAGCAGACCTGGGTCTACTGTTTAGAGCAGCAAGTGCCCTATACAGAAAATCATCTTTTCAGCTCCCATATTTTCATTTTGACTGCTTGTTATTATCCTAATATAGTTTATAATAATCACAGATAATTCTTTTACAAGGTATTATATTCATATTATGAGTTTAATTTTTTAATATATACTGAGTTATTGACTGTAAAATGGGAGTTAGAATGAAAGTATGTTTTCATGAGTTATATTTTAATTGAATATAATTATGACTACATATTGATATATTGTATTATTTTGGCTGATTTTATACTTGAAAAAACAGTTAGTAGTGTTACAGAGACCATATTGGCCACAAAGCCTAAAATACCCACTTCTTCTAACTAAGGCAAATTACAAGGATGTAGGATGCATAGAGTATTCTGAGCATTGAAGAGAGCCCCATA